GCCGCGCACGCCAGCCACATACTATGGTGGTGGTCGACGGAAGATCGTTTGTGCAACATTAATGTCGTTACTCTCGTGTACGTATTGTTTTACGAAGGCGTTTAAAAGTGTATTAATGAGACCGTATTACGATCGTTGTCCGTTCTCGCTGGTAGATCTCTCCGCGCAAAGGTCATGCATAAGAACATGACGCGTGATGTGACGTCGACACTAGTGCTTTCGAACTCGTTTTGGTCGTAACGCGCGCTGAGTTTTATCCGAAAACAGTGTAAGACGGGGAAAAAAATGTACGAACGCCGCACGCTCAAGCATCGTCGCGGAACGCGGGGCAACACGGATTTCGTCCAGATCGTTGAAATTCGTCTACGACCGCAATTTTAACCGTCGACTACCGGGTGCGTTTTTACGCTCGTGCGATCCCGCACACGATCGAGATATGCACGCGCGTACGGTATAATAATTTTAAACACATATACATACATACATGTATAGTTGGGCGTGCAGAGAATGGGTATTACAAGTACAGCAAGCCGGGTGTTTGTTCCTCCTGCGCGTACGCTCAGCCACCGTCAGCACCCTAATAATGTTTACTAGTTATGCTAGTATTGCTACTACACTACTACTACTACTACTACTACTACTACTACTACTACTACTACTACCACTACTCTTATGGCTGTGTGTATACTTTACAACTGCAGGGGTGCCCCCGTCGCGCTCGCTCCGTACCCGTCGGGCGGCCAACGCCGACACCACCGGGGCCAGGTGTATGCAGGTTTTTTTTTCTCCCGTCTTCTCCCGTGTAACGTACGCGCGCGCCGCGTGACGGCCACCGCGCTATGACACATCGCTCGAGACCGAGTCGGGGGGCGTGAGCGGGCGCGGGGCGCGCGGAGACAATACCGGTCGCGTGCCCATATCACCGCCGCGCGTCGTCATCGCGGGGACGCGCGCGTACGACGCGCATAGGTGTACGCGCGCGCGTGAAGGGGTACGTATTGGTTGTGCTGCAGCGTGTGCGCGTGTGTGTGCGTATAGGGTGCGCGTGCTGCAGCTGTTCCGCCGAAAAAATATGTACGGATAGAAAAAAAAAACCATACGCATACACTTATATCGTATTATTATGCTGCAGCGACGGTGAACGCGATTATTATTTATTATGAACGACGGTGGCGGCGGGGGAGGGGGACTAAACGAGCGGAAAAAAAATCCCATCAGCTGGCCCCGTTTCGCGCGACCGTATGCGTTCACGACCGGTGCAACGTCCTACGTTGTACGTGTTGTGTTTGCTGTACATGAGTACAACTATTATTATCGCGTTGTTGCCGTATGATTTTTTCAAAAAAAAAAAATTTAACGGTCAATCACCACCGCCACCATCACCGCTGCCGCCGCCGCCGTCACCGACCGTTATCGTAATAATTAGGGCAGAGAAGTTATAGGATTTGCATGTTTTATTCTGGGTCTCTATTTTATAGCAAACCAAGATATAAATATAAGTCATAGGCCCCACAGTTGATATCTAAATTTTTTTTTGCATATTTTTGCATATTTTGAAGATTCAAAAAAAAATGCATTTTTCGTTATTCTGTGCATATTTCGTGCATATTCTACCTAAAAACTGTATGGTATTATTATATTTTATATACTATATAGTAACATTGTACACCACCCGATTCTCATGTAGACTATGTACTATATTATAGGTACCTTAGGGTGGTCCTTATATGGCAGTTTTGAAAAAAATATTTAAATTTCTCAAGGGAAACCCTCTAGATTGGTTTAGTTAGATATAAAAATGAAATATTAGAAGTTTCAAGACAATCAGAAAAAGTTAAGCTATGCCACAAGAGCCCCAAACTTATTTATTTTTGATTTTCATAAATTATTTTATATTTTAAATTCTGACCAATGAAATATTAATTTTTTACAAAATTTTATCTAACAATATTTGTATAAAATACTTTTTTATGAATTTTACATCCTTTACTGTTTTTCATAGAATTATTATTTTACAAACAAATAGCGTTTTTATACTAAATTTTGTTTATTTTTATAATTTTGTGGACAAAGAGTACCATTGTGACATCCAATATAGAACGTTTATTTTGTTAACTATTATCTATATCAATAATCAATATAATAAGTATTATAATATTGAAATATAACTTACTTCATGCATACAATAGAAAAGTATTAAGTATAAATACAATGTACATTATGGTTTATTTTATCGGTTTGTTGAAGATAAAATGCAATACCTAACTAAATTCAATAAATATCTATTTTTGTCTTATCTTATCTTGGATAGTTGAATATGGATTATTTCTCGAACTAACTGACCCGTACTATATATATTGTTTAAAGAGGTTTTAGTTTTGTTGTGACTTTGGTTTCAACATTATTATATATCTTGATATCGGGACAGGAGTTGATCAGGCTAATGCAATATTTCAAACACTTGAAGATTGGTGTATTATAGATAATATTCAAGCATTATGCTGTGATACAGCTGCCTCCAATATGGGTCGTATAAAAGGTGCCTCTGTTTTATTGGAGCATTTACTACAGCGTAATATTTTATACGTGCCGTGTCGGCATCATATTTTTGAAATTGTATTGAGGAGTTTATTTGAAGTGAAATTTGGTATAACTACATGAGGTCCAGACGTTCCAATTTTTAAACGATTTAGAGAATTTTGGTCAAATGTAAATACTACAAATTTTGAACCTGGTATCAAAAATGAATATGTTGAAAAATTATTGCACAACGTTAGTACAGAAATAATAGAGTTTTGTATTAGTTATTTAAATGAAAATCTCCCTAGAGAAGATATAGGGAACTGTTAGAGTTAACCATAATTTTTCTTGGAGGAGTACCACCACGAGAACTCTCATTTAAAATACCTGGAGCCATACACTATGCACGGTGGATGGCCAAAGCAATATACTGTTTAAAAATATATATATTTCGAAAACAGTTTGATTTAAAACAACGAGAAGAAATATCTATTGCTAGTATATGCGTGTTTATTGTTAAATTATATGTAAAGGTTTGGTTTAAAGCTCCTCTAACTTCCAGTGCGCCACTACAAGATTTAACATTTTTAAAAGATTTAATAAAATATCAGTCAGTCGATCAGAGTATTTTAGATATATCCATAAAAAAAAATGTTTGGGAATTTATGGTATTTATCTCCAGAAGCTGCAGCATTCTCATTTTTTGACGAGGATGTCTCCATGGAAACAAAGAAAAAATGATAACGGCTTTAAATACGGACTCCGAAGACGAATTCAAAAAACAATATATTCTCAAACCAAACCAAGTTGATTCAATTTTAAACAAAGGTCTTGAAGATTTTATATGTTCAGAATCTATGACACTCTTTAACCGCTTCAAAATAAATACTGAATTCCTAAAAATTGATCCGTCATCTTGGCAAAATAATGAAAACTACAAAAAAGCTACAGCTATAATAAAAAAATATACCTGTTGTCAATGATGTTGCTGAGCGAGGGGTTAAACTAATAGAAGAGTATAATGACAAAATAATTAAAGATGAAAGCCAAAAACAATATTTACTGCAATTTGTGTACGACTATCGTAAAACATATCCAGATTCAAGAAAAGGTACACTAATGAAGAAATAAAATTGCATGTAATGATGATAAATATTACTGTCATTTGTCACTTACATGACATTGTTTTAGTCTGTTTAGTGTTTATATTACATATTAGTATATTACATTTATTTTATGATATGAAGCAATAATTAATATAAATTTTTTTAATTGTCAAATAAAATTTACTCAAAATTTCTAAAATCAAATATGATAATTTGCCTTTTTACCATAATAAGTATGTTTATACATTTTTTTTCTTTTCTTTTATAATTACCTTAATAAATTGTAAGTTTATAATAAAATAGATCAGAATATAAATTTTAGAAAATATTGTTTTCTTAAATAAAGTTAAGTATACATTTAAAAAAGAATATTTATTTTAGGACCTGCGATTAAAAAAACCAAAAATTTTTTTTTCTTGAAAAATCAAGGTTTACCAATCTTTGGCGCTCTTGTGGCACGGGTTAATTATTTTCAATCATTCCCAAACTTTACAAAACTCATTTTTATCACTATCCAAACGACATTGGGGGGTTTTATTTGAATAAATCAGAGATCGAAAAATAAGGACCACCCTAAGGTACCTACATATTTTATGTGGGCATTCGGATAATGTTATCGAAGATAACTTATCTTTATTATTATAACTTATTAATTTTACCTATGTCGAAGTAATTGGCATTTAAGTATCTATATTAAATTTTATATCAAAATTATTGTGTCCAGAGTTCACTGTTCGTCAGTAATCTTACTAGTATTATGTGTCGTTCGATACGAAACTGCGTGCCGTTTGTTGTGTTTTCCATGCTTACATTTTTTTTTTTAACATTTCTGCTAACATTTTGTACAATGCCAAAAATAAATGCAAATATATTTAACAAGTATGTGAAACAGTGTGGTGAAGATACATTTGCTACCGATAGTACTATGCTTTATTGTAAGATTTGCGAAGTTAAAGTAAGTGCTAATAAAAAATTTACAGTAACTCAACATATAAAAACAAATAAACACGAACGATTATTAGCTCGTCGAAATAAACCTGCAGAAAATAAACAACAAACAGTCGTCAAACAAAAAATCTGTTTTTTCAAATGATTTATGCAAGGCTATGATGTGTGCAAACATTCCTTTACATCTAATGTTCAATTCCGATCGTTCCTTGAAAAATATACTCTAAATGACATCCCAAGTGTATCTACGTTGAGGAAAACTTATACAAACGATTGCTATTTATAAGCTATTGATCAAATTAGAAAAGACGTAGGAAATAAAATATGGGTTTCTATAGATGAAACGACAGATGTCCAAGGGAGATATATTGCAAACGTAATAATCGGAACTCTACTAAAGGATAGACCCGGAAAAAGTATTCCAAGATGATCCATATTACTTGTATAGCACATGGATTACATAAATTAGCAGAAAATATTCGGAGTCATTTTCCTAGAGTTGATAAATTAGTAGCAAAAGGAAAGCAAGTATTTTTAAAAGCACCTTCGCGTATTTTATTTTTTATGACAGAAGCTCCCGGAGTCCCTCTTCCTCTCGAACCTGTACTTACACGTTGGGGTTCTTGGATTGAAGCTACTTCTTATTACTGCCAATATTTTAAGCAAGTCCGAGATGTTATACAACATTTGATTCTAACGATGCTGTATCTATAAAAGAATCTCAAACCCTTCTAAATAAAATTTCAATGGAATCAAATTTGACTTTTATACATTTAAATTATGGGTTTTTACTATCAACCATAACTAAATTAGAATCACAAGGAGTATCATTAACTGATTCAGTATCAACAGTAATGTTCACAAAAAATAAATTGGAAGAAGTTGCAGGTGACGTTGGAATGAAAGTAAATACAAAATTTAACCAAGTTTTAGCAGTACGGTTTCGTCCATCATCGCGGGAGCACGTGCTTATCGCGCTCCGTAGTCCGTATTGGCAACGTTTAATGACAGTAATCCGATCGTTATTACGCAACACATATTTAATGGGTTTGTAACGGAGCGAACCGTTTCACATATATTAGTATGGCATTGCTTCAATCATCACCGGCAACGAATTCTAAACGACACTTGTCTTCGCACTCCAGCTCTCCCAAGCATGAGAAAAAAACCAAATCTTTCACCTCGCCAAATCGATTCGCTGTTTTGTCAACGGCCAATGATGAGCTGGTATCGGACGTATTTATGTCTAACTCTAATGCTACAGAGCGCGAGCAACTACCACCAAGTCAAAACGTACTGAAGTCCATTCATATGCCGGCGATTTACGTAAAGAACATCAGAAACTTTTCTGAGTTTCATAAAAAATTAATACACCTCACGGGTATTAATGATTTTTCTTGTAAGTCCACACCATCTTATTTAATAATTAGGGCCAACAGTCACCCTGCCTTCGCCACCATTTCGAAGTATCTAATAAGCACTAGCGCGGAATTTCATACCTTCCGTCCCCATTACATGCGTCACTTTAAGGTTGTAATTCGCAATTTACATCATACCACTATTCTATCCGATATCTCCGATGCCCTGGCGGAGCATGGACACTCTGTGGTACGCGTGGTGAATATAAGAAAGAATCAACGTCCATTACCTCTTTTCCATGTCGAATTGGCACTTAAGAATAATAACCACACTATCTTCAACATATCAACATTGCTCCATTCCATTGTAGTCATCGAAAAACCACATTCTAAAATTAATGACCCACCTCAGTGTTTAAAATGTCAAGCATATGGTCATACCCGCAATTACTGTTGTCACTCCCCTAGGTGCGTCAAATGTGGTGAGGACCATCTTACTGCGAACTGTATCAAAGACCGGTCACTCCCGGCTAAATGCGCTCTGTGTTCTAGTGATCACACAGCCTCATACAAAGGATGCCCAATTCGCAAGAAATTGGTACTATCAAATAAAAAAAAAAAAACAAAAATGCCAGATACTCAAAGGCAAGAAGCTCGTACTCGTCATCATGGCAACAACACCAAAGTGGGTCCAACGTATGTCAACATATCTTCAGAGCAACCAAAACACACTACTTCTGATACTATATCTACATTTCTGATTGAAATAAAAATCTTATTAAACCCTCTACTTTCCCTTCTCACCGTCCTAATAAACAAACTCACAACGAATTCCCCATAAATTATCACAACCAATTACCAACAATTGCATTCAACCTATTTATGTAATCTATACGCCCTTATCTTTATATTAACCTTATTAATATTATTATATTTTTGGGTTTTTTTTTTTTTTCTATTCTGTATACCTATTCAATATTATGATACAATATCTTATTGTTAATTTAATTTAATTACGTTGTAGATAGTATAATTGTTGAGCTGTAATAGTTAATACTAAAAGCTAAATAAAAAAAAAAAAAAAAAAAAAAACCAAGTTTTAGAAAAAAATGATGGGTTTGCAATAATATTAAACATTTTAAAAATTTTGAATGGAAAAAGTTCATCAATGAATGGTTTACCAGAAGACCTAACAAGAAATGATTTAACATTTTATAAATATGCACCAGTAACATCAACAGACATCGAAAGAAGTTTTTCTCGGTACAAAACCATACTGGCTGACAATCGGCGATCATTCGACGTAGAAAATATTAAAAAAAACATTAGTTGTGCAATGCAATAATTTATCAGGTGAGAAAAAAGTTATCTTAAAAATATTTTTTTTTTCATATATTTAATATTTATTTTAAGGATAAATCCAAAATTCGAGATTGAAGAAAACTATACTAACAATCGGCGATCATTTGACGTAAGAAATATTTAAAATAAAATTAATTGTGCAATGCAATGATTTTTATATTTCTTTTATATCTAATTTTTTTATTTTACTAAAATATAATTTAATTTTTTTGTGCATATTATATTGCATATTTAATGAATTTGAATGCATATTTTTAATTTTTTATGTGCATATTTGCATGCATATTTTTCCAATTTTACCTCCTATAAATTCTCCGCCCTAGTAATAATGTATCGAAGAAATCGAACATTGCGCGTACGTTGCATCGCACTGCGCTACAACACCATGTCGGAACAGGCACAGCAGATGGGTTATTGTATTCCAACAGATTTTGACAAAATTGAATACGGGTGCTCCTGGTGGGATGATTTGATTTGATCAAGTACACGGTTTGAAACCTTATTGGTCTGAACAAATATTCTTACATTTCGATGAACAGAAGTGTACACACGATGATTGTTATTGATGTGATGTTCTATACTTTGTAGGGATGAATACCATTAGCCAATTACCTAGTTAACCCAAACAAAATTAACAATATTATTAAAAAAAAATTTAAAAAAATATGTCATGGGAAACACGTATCTTAAATGGAATACTATTGCAGTGTCAAAATTACGAGTGCTGTTAGGATATGCATCAATGTAAAAACTAAATTACTTTCCTTCAGAATACGTGATCTTACACTTTACTGGTACGAGTACAGTTGGTTATTGCAATGTTTTTAGTAGCCACGCATGATAGCACTTGTACGGAGGAAGGGGATTTTAGGAACTTAATAAATTATTCAATAACATGCATGTCATTTTATGATAAGACATTTTTCTAAAAACTTAGAAATATTAAATAAGTTTTAAAATTTAAAAATATTAAATAAGTTTTAAAACTTAAAAATATTTATCCTTATGGTAACGGTAAGGAAGTGTAATTTTATTGTTATAATATGATTTTCTTTTATAAAATTATGATTATCTATTAATTCATTTGTAGGCTATTATTCCTGAATAAATATACATGTACGTACATCTCAGAAAAAATATTTAAAAAGTATTTTAAATACTTTTTTAGTATTCTGAACAATGTACTCGAAGTACTATTCTTGTAGATTATTTGAATACATTTTCGGAATACTATTTTTCATAAGTATTCAAGTATATGTTCTAAAATTCCAAAAACTTTTAAAAAGTATTTGGCCCACGCCTAAGGGTATGTTAATGATTTTAAGAGCTTATGGTTACTTTTGGTGTCGAGTTGAAGTCGAAGACCAAATATATCAAAGACATAAGTCAATTGAAGTATAGGTCTTCGAAATAAAATAAATACAAATGTATGTAATTGTATTGATAGTATTAAGACATAATACATTTTAATGAAGACGTGTTCTATGACGGGCCATGCAAAAACAGATGTTTTGTTTTGTTCTTAACCACGAAGCCACAAAAATATTACTGCTGATAAGATGCAAACTTATGAAAATAATACATAATTAAATAGGATATATTTCATATATATAATAAATATAAACGAATGAACACAGCTAAAAATGCGTGTTATATTTTATATTAATGACTCGTAAATATTATTAAGCAAAACTAAACTTTTTGGTGGTAACTCCAATAATCAATATAACTTTATATTCTCAGTTAAAAAAAAAAACAAATTGTAGATAATATTCAATACTTAACTGAAAATATTAAAATGCACTTAAAAAAAAAAAGTTCTTAAATCTGTATACATTTGAGTAGCTGGTAGCGCCAGTAAAACCTGATCTTCTATTAATAATTCTTATCTCCATTACTGTTTTTAAAATTAAATTTTATCAGCTACATTTAGTAAAATATAAACTTCTTTCTAATGAATCATATTGAAATTATGGAAATATTTAATAGACATAATATATATAATAATATAAGCAATAACAAAATTAATTTTCAATACATTTTTAAATTTTAAAAGTATGTAATAGAATATATTTCCTGTCTTTTAGTTAGTATTGTTGCAAATTTAATGCTATAAAATTTGAGCCCTAATTACGGTGATTAAATTTTATTAGTTTAAATAGTAGGTTTAGGCCATAGGGATGCACAGACTCCGGTTTCAAGCGCAATATGAGATTAATTCAATCCATTCTCCAAATTTACCGTTAATCTGGCATATAATTTTACTTTTTTAAATTTTTTTGGTTGATCAATATTAAAATTGTCTTGGTTATTTGTTATTTGGATACAATGTCCTCAGTTAAATGCACTTTTCTTTTAATATTTATAATATAATAAAATAAACAAACAATAATAACTAGTATATATATATATATATGTATGTATAGTGCGGGCAATATGGAATATCTGGCTATATACACATTGCTTAGGCAATTTGGTCCTGTCAAGGAAATTTGAACCGGGAATATAAATAAATAATCACAAAGCACAAAGTTTCTTGAAATGCACGAAAACACGTATGGTTAATCGTAAATATAAATAATTTATAATTATAATAAATTATATTATATTATTATTATAATTATTATTCATTATTACAATTATTATTGTCTATACATCGATGTCTGATTGTATCGACATAGCTGTATTACATTTATTAATCTGATTTGGAAAAACAATAGATTGAAGAATATAAGTAAAAAGTAAGAATTATTATACTGATACTTTATAATTTATTCTATATTATAATAAAAATACAATAAATTATAAGTAAACTATTGTACAATTATAATAATAAGACTTATTATATAATACTATATATATTATATAATACTTAGTATTATTAATATTTCTATTGGAGGTTCAAATTGCCCGGGTGATATGTACATTACCCAGTATTCCATGTTGCCCATAACATATATATTTTTGAATCTATAGATACATGACTGAAGATATTTGTTTTTGAAGAAAAATATAATTATTTGTAGTTATAATTTCATAAAGTTAATTAAAAAAAAAAATTATTAATTAAATAATTGTATTTCATAAAATCTGAAACAATTTAATATTGAAGATAAAACTTACTGATTTTTTAATTGAATTGTCTCATAATACTAATACCAAATGTTGATGCACTTGGTGTATTTGTGAGTATTGAAAAATGTAATTTATTTTTAAACAGTTTTCGCTCACAAACAAAGAACCAATGTTTTCTTTTCACATACTTTTTCCGTGCCAACCTTTCATCTACCAGACATGACACAATAGTAAAGTGTTAATATTATATGTATTTTTCCCTTTACTATTATACAATTTATTGACTTAATGAGCACATTAAACAATATTATTAAGATGTGCAATACAAATAACGATAAGCCTAAATGCTTAAATGTAAGTACATAAAATAATGTTTTTATTTTGATACAATGATCAGTCCATGACGCATATACAAGACGATACAATTAAAAACTCAGATAATTTTTACGAGATATCGTAGATATCTTGACGATAAATTATAATTAAAATTAAAAACCATATTCATCCAAGGGTAGGAATTGTTATACACAGGTAAATTCTCAGTGCTCGACTTGAGGGGATGTAAAGGGGAGGAGTACCCCAACTAATTTTCAGAAATTTTAGCGTTCCCCTACTATTATTATGTTATAATTATAACGCTTAACAAGTTTTGGGGACGCTCTTTTTTTAAAATAAATAGAGTACCCCTTCTTTTATTTTTCCAAGTCGAGCATTGTAAATTCTATAATCCTAAAATATTTAACTTCGAGTTAGTTAGTTATAGTTGTATATATATATATATATATACAGTGCTCGAATTGGGAAAAATTAAGTAGAAGAATTCAGTCCAACGATTTGAAAACTGCGTTCCACGCAGTTATTTGACACAAACCCGTGGGGGCTTCGTCCCTCTTTCTCCCCTCCACCAACCTTAAATATATTTTGAATATCATTTTTCAACTAAACAAATATTTAAATTCGAAATATAATATATTTTGATAGCAATACCAACATCCTATATATTACAATAGAAAATAAAAAGAAAATAATAATTAACATAGGTAATTGTAGGCGATCAGGCAGTCTCATGAATCGAATGATATAATCATATATTTGGTTTTTATTTTTATTTATTTTTACTCTTTAGTGCGAGCCACGACCTTAGAAGATTAGTCTAAGATCGTGGTGAAGGCATTTATTTTTTTCCGAAATGACGATATCGTCGATCGCCAATATTAATAACAAACCGTACAATGTATAAAGTATAATACACCAAATTCACAGACATTACTATTTATATTTTTACAGATATGACGACGTTGTCTCTTATCATAACCACCATATAATCTTTAATTATAAAAATACTTTTGATATTATAAATCGTAAAATTCATTTTCCAATTGACGTAAATTGAAATTCACATAAAAATTATTTTGGACATCAATTAGAATGAACGTGGCATCCCCCGTTTCGGTAAAAAAATATAATTCGGGTACACAAAAAAAAAAAATAGTAGAGGAGCTCCGTTCCCCTGCGCCCCCCCCCCCCAATTCGAGCACTGTATATATAGTTTATAAGAAAAAAATGATGTATACATATATTGCTTTTAATTACATTGGTTATCGTTTGTGTTAATCCTGATAAAAGTTTAGGGGCATCATATGCTGCCACTGTTACCTTTGTGCATTTATCTAAGAGTATAGCTATATATAGAATATAGTAGGGGTGGCCAACTTTAATAGACTTGTGAACAGCTTTTGAGTTTTTCTATATTGTTAAGATCAACAAAAAAAAAAAGTTGTCATTAAGCAAAAATATATTTAATATACATGCATGTAACACTTAATTTATTTATTATTTTTAAGGTATTAACAATAATAACTTTAATTTCACAGTTTTACGCAACACGTAATTTTTTTAACACTTTATACGAATGTGATAAATACCGTTATTTAATACGAAATATCCATTAGCTTACGTACAATATACCTACTTGATTCGGTGCATAATTTCGTTTTTAATAATAATTTATAACTATTTATTGACTTAATTAATTGTTT